CTCAGGCCCGTGCAGAAACATGTGGCGCGTTCAGAGCACACGTTTCGTACTCACGCTGCTGATCAGGAGCTCCACACTAAAATATGCCCTCAACAAGTATCTGCACAAGAACAGATCGCTCTCATGTTTTATCATTTCCACTGAGCCGACATTCACATTAAAGAAAAATGAGAACAAAATAACTATGGTTTATGCTTAAAGGATTGTTCTTGAAAGTTAATTAAAAAGAATTATATTAGACTTCCTTGAGAAAATGACAACCTGCGCTTTTATTTACAGATTAGTTTTGAAACATAAACTGAATTCTGACATTTTGGAAAACGAAACTCAATTACCGTAATTTCCGGACTATTGAGTGCATCTGAATATAAGCCACGCCGACCAAACTAAAAAATAAAAACAATTTTGTACATATATAAGCTGCGCTTGTCCATAAGCCACAGGTGTCCACATTGTAACATGAGATAATCACACAAAGATTTTGAGGGTGTGTGTATGAAGAGCAAAATAACTGATCTGAAGAACTGAATGAGTGCGTTGGATCTACGGTAATTCGAAGTTCCATTGGTTCGACTGTGACCTGTTCAGTAATTTCGCTGATCAGATTTATTTTTACCTTTATGTATACAGGTAGTCGCATTGAGTCACGAGGACCCCCCCCCCACACACACACACACACACACACACACAAGAGAGACAAGTATTAGGCAGCTGTGTGAGCACCCAGGTGTGAAGAGGCTAAATGTTTTGGTGGCAGGAAGCTCGTTAGCCCGTCAAAAAAAAAAAAATCCATTAATTAGCTGCAGCATTGTATAAGCCACGGGGTTCAAAGCATGTGAAAAAAGTAGCTGCTTATAGTTTGGAAATTATGGTAAATTTAGCAACACCAGAATTTGGGACATTTTTCAGATTAGAAGTCCAAAAAAATCCACTTTGAAGTCTGTTTTTAAATGTTTTTTGCCCCATAAGTCACGTTTTTTATTTTATTTTTTGCATAATTTGCATGCCCTGCAACTTAATATGCTGAAGCGATGTATTTATGGATTTTTCCCATATTTACGAACCAATTTTTGTATGAGATATGACCGTTTTCATTCA